AGTGTTTTGGTGGCGCTCCCAACTTCTTAAGGTCACATGAGCGGGTGGACATATAAAACATTTTCAGCTGGTAGGAAATTATTTCGAATTTTGCCCGGTTAGCGGCCGAAGCCTACTCTTATCGATTTTAGACCACCTAGGTATCTTTAACGTGCGCAACATGCACACGGGATCTCAAAGATTGTTCGCCCTTGTCCGAGAAGGCTAGGTGTAGATTAAATCCTACCAGAAGATCAGGGGTATGGCTGAAAGACAGCAGTACCTAGTAAGAAGGAGCCAAGGAGTAGCTATGGAAAGGCTGCAGAAAAAGTTAGGGGCCCAGAGGAAGGGGCAAAGGAGGTGAGGGGGTGGAGGCAGAAAGTGGAGACGAAAGCAGACTACAGGGCATTGCCAGAGAGAGGAAAGGAGTTGAAATGAGGCAATTTTAGAGAAGGAAAATTTACCGTGGCTACCCGGATTCGAGCCCGAGACCTTTGAATGAGAAATGAACACCTTAACCTCTAGGCCACGAGAGCCCCATTCGATTAGCATTAGCAGTATGCACTGGGTTATAAGTATTCTTTATTCTCCAATGGACACTTTGTAAATCATTATGATCATTAGGAAGCTGGCTGCATCAACACGGCCTGCCAGGGCCAACCACAACTTAGTGGGATACAGTATCTTTGCAGTGAGAAAGAGAACGCTAAAAAACCCAAGAAAACCCCAGAAAAAATAACAACATGAGAATAGAACTTACATCTGCGTGTAACGTTGAATAGCCTAACCGCTACACAAGAAACGCCGGCATAGTTGCATCCATAACAACACATATTTTTGTATGTATTATAATGTCCCAGGATCTGAAGTTCAAGTGGAAACGCCGCCTGGTAACGATACACAGTATCATGAGTGTTACTTGGAAAGCAATAAACGAACTGTAGGAGGCGGACGTGTGGCGCTGTATGATTAATCACGTGACCGGTTTTTGCTACTATTCAAAGTGGGAGGGCCGGATAACACTTCGCTATCTCAGAATTACAAAGTTTTATTTGCTCAAGTAACGTAATTTTGAGTTTCACGATGTTTCAAGCTTTTTCGAATACAGTTATTAGTTATTTGAACATCTCGATGACGATTCTGAATGATCTTACAATTTTGATAGAGCAGGCAGAGCAATAGATTTCCCACATCAGGGTCTTAGTGTGGTAACCCAAAATGGTTAAAAATGTCAGAATAACTTTTGTAATTCTGAGGAAGCCACTTGTTACAATGACAGTGCTAAGTGAACACCTCACATTGATGGTATAGTTTTTGTCGTGTTTTTGCAGCTTCCAAAAATGTATTTAGAATGTTGAGACTCTCGATGGACTTCGTATTGCGCTGGGATTTTAAAACAATTTCTCTTATATATA